CACTACAGGCAAAGAGGCTGACATAACCATAAGCTAAAAGGGCATTAACACATTTTTATAGGGGAAACTACTCCATGATTTTATTAGTTTTGAATTGGAAATGCAATCTTTATTTGGTGTGTCAACATAAGACATTTTACTGTGCAGCTGACTAATCGACCGGTCAGTAAAGCATCACCATCTAAACATGCAGATACTTCCCGCACAGTCAGTTAGTCAACTGTGAGGTTAATTTGCTAGGTAGTGACTGCACAATAGCCCATGTGTAGATGGCTGGCTGGAAGCAAATTTGCTTCTGGTCAGCAAAGGCAGCAGGGGGCGGGAGAACTCCCTCCCCTGGGAGCTGCCTGCTGCTGGGGCAGGATCTGAGTGTGGAGCCCAAGCTGGTACAACATCCCCCTGCCCTGGCAGCAGGCAGCTCCCAACCCCAGGTCCACGATCTTTGCTAGGGTTAGAAGCTGCCTGCTGGCAGGGAAGGGGGACATTGTCCCAGCCAGGCTCCAAGCTCAAAGAGTGCACTGGCAGCAGGCAGCTCCCGGGGGAGAAAGCATTTTTACTGTGCATTTTTACAAGTATTTACAAGTATTTTTACTGTGCAGTAAGTTTACTTTGAATTAATAGCACATGTAGATGCACCTACTGAGCAGTAATGCTGTTAAGCCTGTGCCTTCTGGCAGTATTATATCACATGACATCAGATCTTGAAACTACAGTGCATTAGTTTTCTACTAGAAACTCTGGACATTATTATTCAAGTTTGTAAACTTTTGGGCTAATTTCACTCCAGAAAAAAAAGAAAAAAGACTTGGCTTGTTATTAAAAGATACTTAATTAAATTTTACATAGTGTAAAATGAAGGCCCATTGATTCTAAATAAGTAATGCAGCATACCCAACCCTGATCTTAACTCTGATACCTTTTACTTTAATTGTAAACCTCATCTCCTAGTAAGTAGCAGTCACAATGGTCCTGCTTTCAGAAGTTATCAGGCTTTTGGTGTGAAGATAATTAACTCCAGCTTCCTGGCATCCATTTTTCTGTTCACTGTTCATTAACTATCACTAGACTAATTCATTGCTTAGCTTTGGCATTTCAGCACTCTGAAGCCTTATCACTCTTAAGCACTCTGTGGAGTGAACATGTTATGTGACCTAAATTGTTAGGCACCCTTTCCCAGGGACATACAATGCTTCTTCAAACAGAATTCCTCGTTTAAATAATTGCATACATTTTGTATATTTCTTGTAGCAATATGTTGTTGCTTTCAGCTATTAGACTAAAAGGCCTAGCCTACTGACCTGATTTTAAGGATGAGAGAAAGTCAAAAGAATATATTTTGAATGTTCCCAATATGATAGATGTATACAAGGCTTTAATTTTTCATGAAAAAAATGTACACATTTTCACAGACAGCAAGCAAGTACCTAACAAGGAGGTTGGATTTTCTTGATGTAATCTTAAGTAAAAGGTTAAATTTTCCAAACTATATTTTGTACTGTTTTCAACTTAATGAAAATGTAAATTAAAGAGTGCTTATTTTTTATGACTGCTCAGTGGTTTGGCTGTAAGATCCATTTTGCCTCAACAGTTTGCAATCATAAGTCTGATGACCAGGGATCTTGGTTTTCTCTGATAAAAAAAATCTCCAATTTTTGGATTTAAAAAAGGAGCCAAAATCCACATTTTTCCATGATTAAAATGAAACACCACTATTAGGCCTGTGCAAAGCAACTAGTATTCGTTTCAGATTCAGCTGATTTGGGGGTCAGCGATTCGATTCGGTGATTTGAATCACTGTCCCAAATCAATTCAGCAGAATCTGATTCGGAGATTTGGCCACTGCCGAATTGCCTGAATCTCCGAATCAAACAGGTCTCTTCCCCTACTTGTTCTCCCAGCCCCATCAATGGCAGCCCTGCCTGGCCCCAGTCCTGACTCTTAAAAAAAAAGGGAAAAAAAAGAAAAGAAAAGCCCTGCACTCACCGGCTCCTGCCGGGTGGTGAGGGGCGATCCCCGCTGCCCCAGGCTGTGTGGAGAGGCTCCACCACGAGCCCTCAGAAGTTCCAATGGCTTCTGCAGCAGCTGGTGAGTGCAGGGCTTTTTTTAAAAAATATAATAAAGAACAGGGAGCTGGGGCCAGGCAGGGCAGCCATTGACAGAGCTGGGAGAGTAGGCGGGGGATGGGGGCTCATGGCAGAGCACCCCACACATGCAGGGCAGTGGGGGGCAGCAGGATCACCGCCCCCCCCCCGGCCTGGCAGAAGTCATGAATGTAGTGCTTTTCTTTTCTTTTCTTAAGACTGAATCATTAATCACAGAAAAATGTGGATTTTGTGGCATCTCATTTTAATCATGGAAAAATGTGGATTTTGGGTTTCTTTTT